ATCTTTCATCTTGAAGACAGAGGATAAGTAGTTTTTAGTTTCATTTATGCCAACCATATTTGTACCCACAATAAGCATATCATTAACATAAAGACATACAATTACTCCATAATTTTTAGTGAATTTTGAGTAGATTCATCTATCAGCACTATTATGTTTAAAACCAAAAGCTAGAATGCAAGAATCAAATTTTTCATGCCACAGTTTAGGTGCTTGTTTTAATCCATATAGTGATTTAACTAGTTTASAGACTTTCTTCTCATCTCCAAGAAGAACAAATCCTTCTGGTTGTTCCATATAAACTTCTTCATTTAAATCACCATTTAAAAAAGCAGTTTTAACATCAATTTGGTGAATAGATAAGTGATAAATGGATGTTAATGCAATGAGTGTTCTAATAGAAGTTGTTCTAGCCATTAGTACATAGGTGTCAAAGTAATCAATTCCTTCATTTTGACTAAATCCTTTGGCTACCAGTCTAGCCTTAAAAGTTTGTACAGTTCCATCAATGTTGTATTGTCTACTAGTACCCATGTGTTATTTGACATTATTGAATCCATTTCATTATTTATATCTTCCTTCCAAAAGGTAGCATCTCTAGAGGTTATGGCCTCACTGTAGGTTTTTGGATCATTTTCAATGTTTAGGACAATAGGTATCTTATTTAAAATGTTCTCTCTATCAGCCTCAACCAAAAATATAATTGACTAAGTAGAGATAAAATCTGAACCTAAGTGTTTCTATGTTCTTTGTTTTTGACTTGTTCTAGGTCCTATTGTAGGTGTTACAGTTGTGTCATTTTTTTCTTTCAGTCTCATTATTATCAACAGGTATTGAGATTTGAGTATCTCTTTYAGGTACTCTGTCATTTTTCGTGGATTATTTTTTTGTAGATTCAGAACATAGTTTATTTTCAAAGAATTCAACATCTCTAGTTTCAATTATTATGTTGGACTCCAATTGTAGAAACCTATAGGCTTTGCTATGTTTTGCATATCCAACAAACATACTTCTCTTAGCTCTGAGTCATAACTTGGTTCTTTTAGGATCTGAAACTCTACAATATGGTAAGCACTCCCACACTTTTAGGTATGCTAAATTAGGCTTTCTTCCT